GAAGAAATTATCTCATGGAGGTTTCTTGACTTTTTTCTTAATAAAGCCATTTTAAACAAAATAGCACAATTTTAACTGTGCCAGAGCAACAGGTGCTAACATGAAAATCATGCAGCGATTAGAAATGGTGTAATCTTTAAACTATTAAAAGTTTCAGTCTTGGGTCAGTGTGTCAAGCAGAAGCTAAGCCAACGAGTTCAGAGGACAAACAAAGAACTTCCTTTGGGTTAGAAGTCATAGTTCAAGAGATGTCAGTGTGCCAGTGGCTCCATAGGCAGCAGCACATCAAAGGCAGGTTGTGGAAAGTGGAGAGATGCCACAACCCTACAAGATGCCTTTCCAAGCATGGCCAGCGTCTCACACCTCTGGCCCAGCCTTTCAAAGCCAGGCCCTGAGGGCACACTGGTGAAACAGCGGGAGCCAAAGCACTCAGGAAGCCGCTTCCTTCCTGCCTGCCCAGCCCATCATCAAGCCAAAGGCTCCAGCCAGCCTTGTTTGCTCTAAGTAGGACTACATGGCTCAGGGAAAGCAACAGAGAGGACCAAAATCACACACACTCTCCGGGGACGAACTCGAGGGAGGAAGGAATTAACATTGACAGATGAATTAGCACATTCAAGGAACAATAATCCTACACACCCACCGAACCCTTGAAGATCAGAATGAGCTTCAAGGGTTGGAGAATGGAGATATTAAGCTTTGGCAAGGTTAAGGAACGGTGTCATGTTAACAAAATTAAATTGAACATTTTTCAAGAAAGAAGCAGCTGCACAGGCAAACGTGTAGGCACGAGAAACAAGAAAACACTTGTGGTGTGATTTCTGTGCAGACGTCTGCTTTACAGCCTACATAAAGCTGGTCCAAGTTTTCTCTGTAAGTGACACCAAATGCACTTTCTTATCACCTCTGTGCAGTATTGTGAAGCCAATCACTTTCAAAAAGCTCTGTGACTTCGCGCTATGAGGCATGGACCAAGACGTCAACGTTAACCTGCTGCAGACCACGTACCGTTCCCACTAATGGGTAGATGAAGCCAGCTCCGATGCTGGCACGGACATCTCTGATTGGCAAAACAAATCCAGTGGGTGCCCCCTTCTTGTCGGGCATGTGGGACAGGGACAGATGGGTCTTGGCCATGCAGATGGGCAATGAACCATAACCCTGGTAAAAGGCAAAAGAGAAATAGTCATTGTGTGACCTTGTCACAGAGGAAAGAGAAATGAGATGAGTCAGTTACTGCAGCGGCAGTGAGCTCACTTGTTGATGGTAATAATCTGTCTTGGTCTTGGCCTCTGGAGACAGCTCGATGTCATCGGCCCCGTACACTCTCTGGGCTATTGTTCTGATCTTCTCCACGATCGACATCTATCGGAAGGACAGCGCATCAAACGCAGGTGAACACACAACAGCTCTACACTCAAAGGGAAGTGAGGAAATTAGATTTGGTGAAGTGAACACATATCAGCGTGACATCAGAATCAAACACAGTTCAGTAAAATGAATTAAATATTTAAACTTTGAGCTCTTATCAGACATGTGATAGCTAAGAAAGCTGCCTTTATTCCTCTGTTAAAGTGACTATTCGGATTTTCTGCCCATTTGACTGAAGCCAAGTACACAATGTCATTTGCTTTTAGATCTTGATCAAGCCTGTCTCCATTTCAGGGGTATTTAGACAACAATCAATGATGGACTCGTGTATTTGCAATTCTACTTTCTTTTAATGTGACAAAAGACTTCTGACAAACTGAAAGGGATGCACAAATATTACTTCTGACCTGGAAGACTGATGGCCTAATTTCTAATGCAAAACTGCCCGAGGTGTGGTTTGTAAACAAAGCCGACACATTCAGGTGTCATTAGATTAAAAAAAGAACGTTATATCTGATTCTCCCTTGACACTACAAACCTTTGTTTTTCCTTTTTGGTCAAAAACATGTAATAACAGAGGATTTGAGCACTATGGCATCAACAGCTTATTAATGAGAAACCTATAAAAAACATTTATAAACACATCTTTGACTTCTTTCTTCATCTCCTAAACTGCAGCTTGTCGCAGAATATCTCGTCACTAATGTATTCAGAATTTCAGCATCTTCGCTATGAGACACCATCACCTGCCAGGTGTATCGAGGTGCAGTTCTTCTGTATCATCGATCCGAGCTGCTAACTTGGAACTTTAGCAGGTATGGGATATTCTCACACTACCTTCTCTTCTGGCAAACATCCAAGCCTGAGGTTTTCTGTCTGACCTTCCCTCTAACTCGTCTAGCACATGGAATAATCAAAAAATTGAACACCTTATTATACAGCAGTTAAGGTTTGATTTATTAATTTAATATCCAATAAATCCTGTTGTTGAGAGCGCTTGCATGCAGGCACATGCTTACTGCTAATGGAGCCATGCACAAAGACACAAACAGCATAACAAGGTCAGTTAATTTAAGTCACAACCTCCTAGACTCGCTAACTCAAACCAGCTGATGTTTTTTTACTTCAACCTACTCTAGCTCCCAAAATCAACACAATTTACTAATTATCCAACACTGAAACAGTAGGAACAGGGATACCGCATATCGTAGAGCAATAACTAAATAAAATAACTAAATAAAATTTCCACTACATTATCTGCACTCACCTCTGTGTTGTAGAGAAACTGGTAGTCGCTGGGTTTGCTGGCAGCCTCCTTCACAGCCTGGGCGAGCTCCGAGCAGCCTCTTCCACCCTGCGCCCAGTGGTTGCACGGCAAAGCGTCGGATGCGCCACACTCTTTCGCTATCTGACATACAAGGTCGATCTCTGCCTGGGTGTCTGTCCTAAACGATCCGAGGAAAAAAGCACCATTAGCAGCGCGAAGCTGGCGTTTATATACAATACAAATTAATCACAATTAGTAGCTTTACTTGCAGTTAGCTATTTTTAAAAAAATATAGCCGTAATATACAACTTACTTGAAGACATTAACAGCAACCACGACTGGTACCCCAAACAGATGTGCAATCTGGATCTGCTTCCTGAGATTGCTACGGCAGCCGCCAGCAACCAGGCTCAGGTTCTAGAGGTGGAAGAGAAAGAGGAAAGAGAGCAGAGGTAACAAACTGTTATTAAAAAACAAAACACATCTAACCCATAAAATGTGCCACAACTTGAACCAAAACATATTATAAATGTAATAGACGAGCTACACGTCCTGTAGCTTCATAACATCTGCGCTGCACAGTTTCTTACAAGGTGGATGTGTTCATTTGGCTTCTTTAACAGAATAAACAATACACAGGGCTGTGTTATATTATCCCGCCCACGATTACACCGGTATATTATGCAATATAAAAATGTCACATTGTGTCACATCTTTTCTACATGAGTTTAAGTTCAGGGGATGCCCAAGAGCTGCACATCAGTTACTTTAACATTCCCCAACAACCTGCAAATTATGCAAGAAAACGGTTCCTGTTAAAGGTGAAATCACGGCGTGAGGGAGGAGATACTATCATCTGTGACCTAAATGTAAGCAAAATACTCCACCAAGCATCGTTGGAGCACTTCCAAGTTGCACTCCATGAGGGGGGGAGATGGTAGATGGAATTTATTGATTCAGCTACATGGTGGAAAACCAGAGCTTTCAGCAGGTGGTTAAAAACCTGTTACACTTATATCGTGATAGAATTTCAAGGCCATATCCCTCACTCCGAGTACTATATAAGTCAGAAATAAGTACTTAAATGGTTTGCAGAAATCTTACATGCTAATTGTGTCCTGTGGATCTTTGTTCTATGAAAACACTCAGCCCCCGCCAAAAAGAAATTCCTGTCTTACTTAATACTGAAATTATTCTGTGTCATAATAAAAATACAAAAAACCCCTAAAAGATAACAAATGAGATGGAGAAAGTTTTCCTGCATCTTCAGCTCACCAGTGGAAAAAATGCTAAAGATTCTTGTGTAACTGATAAGCAGTTTACAGAGATATGATTTAAAGGGCATGACAGGAAATCTGTGATTCTAGTGGGAGTTTCATTTAAATACATTAATGTCCTATTCACCATTTTGTATAAGTTGTTCAGGCTGATATAAAATGTCTCGTTACTAACACTTGTGTGCTTTGCATGTGATTGCATCATTATACTTGATCCGGTGATGTGTGCAGCAATTCAATAGCTCATATTGAACCGCATGCTACTACGTGCACACTGTAGTAGCTTCACGATTAGCTCCTATGCGACCAAAGTAATCTAATCTAGCACTATTTGTGTGTAGCCACAGGCTAAGAAGAGTAAGGCCATACAGGTCCCATAAATTCATTTCCTGAGCTCTGCTTTCCTCAGTACTTCTGGTTCTTATTACAGCCTTTACAGTTAACCTTAATTAACTGCTCCATTATTTACTCAGCTGAACCTGCCTGAGAGACCACTGATTTTGGCCAGATACAGCCGCACACACACACACACACACACACACACACAGAATCCCGACTCCACTTTTGTTTAAGTCTACATAGTAGAAACCGACGGCAAATGTTCTCTTAATACATCAAATGCTTCTAATCACGGTTGTTGGCAGCAGATCTATGCAGGTAGATGGAGATTTAAATGTCAGTGGGAATGCAGCTGAAAGCTTGAGGTGGACTGGTTCAGTACAATCTCCAAGACCCTTTATTGCATCACATAAACATCTTATAAATGCTGTCAAATGACGTCTCCCTTCCATGATTTTTCTGGTTAATATTACACATGTTTGACACAGAGGAGAGACCAAGTATACATTAATACAAAGATGATGCACTGCTCTGTAAGTAGCCCTAATGTGTACAGTAAGCCCATTAGGAGCCAGGTCACAAAACAGCTGCATGAAGAGGAAGTGGGATCACCACCCACGGTCATGCTTCACTGCCATGGTAGTTTACTCAAAACACAGCACCAAGCACATCACCAAATAGAGTTATGTTAATGAGTGTAAATAGCCTTAATTCTCCTGAAAACATCCTGAACTTTCAGACTAAATACAATAAGGACAGATACAGATAACTATTTTATCCTAATTACAAGTGATGCCACGGGCCAATAATTACCTCCCATCCCCCATTATTTTACCACACTGCCTTTTTCTTTAACTCTCTTGTAACTCAATGCATTTAGGCATGTAGATGTGGTCAAGACGAGCTGCTGGCAGCATTAGAATGGGAAAGAAAGGTACTTTAAGTGACTTTGGATGTGGGTGCATGTTTGAGTATTTCAGAAACTGCTAATCTACTGGGACTTTTCCCACACAACCATCTCCAGGATTTGCTGGTTGGGAAAAAGAGAAAATATCCAGTAGGCAGCAATTCTCTGGGTGAAAATATCTTATTGATATCAGAGGTCAGAGGAGAATGGCCAGACTGCTTCGAACTAACAGGAAAGTAATATAAACTCAAATTACCACTCGTTATAATTAAAGAACGCAGAAAAATGCACAACATGTTGAAACATTGAAGCAGATGAGTTAAAGCAGCAGAAAATTACACTGGTTGCCACTCGTGCCAGCTAAGAACAGGAAAAGTAAGCTAAAATTGCACAGGGTCACCAAAATCGAACGACAGAAAGTTGGAAAAAAGCCTTGTCTGGTCTTGTCTGAGCCTCGAATTTTGCTGCCACATTCAGACTGCTGCGTCAGGATTTGGTGGGCACAACATAAAAGCATGGATCCCTCGTGCCTTGTGTCAAATGTTTAGGCTGGTGGTGATATATTTTCTTGGCAGAATTCGGACCTCTTATTGCTGACCATGCCTATCTCTTTAAGACTACAGTGTACCCATCTTCTCGTGGCTGCTTCCAGCAGGATAACGCACCATCGTGTCAACATGGACCAAAACCTCTGAGGAATATTTCCAGTAATTTGTTAAATCTGTGCCACAAAGAATTAAGGCGGTTCTGAAGGCAAACGGGTTCCAACCCAGTACTAGCAAAGCATATACCTAACAAAGTGTTTGGTGAGTGTATATTTATGTTTGCTCATGCATATTTTTCATGGTTCCTACCTCATCGGTATACTCTCGGGGAAGCGGTGCACCTGCAGATACCTAAAACCGTACAAACAGACCAACAAATTAGACACTTCAGCATCACAGGTTTTGTCCATATGGGAGATAAACAAGAAATCAACCCTTCTAATTCTTAATATTTTCACAAGCAAATCTATAAACACAGTTATTAATTTGGAAGATTAATTTCAGCAAACAGGATGAAGACTAATGAATACCAAGAAACTGAGATAACCCTATGAGATAGTCAGCTCATTAAATTCAATTGAGTTACAGCTCAGCACAGGATCGCAGTGCCTTTCATGACCATTAAGAGCATTTTACTATTGGAGTTTGTCAATCACAAGCTGCGCTAGATTTTCAGACATTTAAGTGAGTGGTTCTTTAATTCATCCACACCAGAGAAGAATTTATGGCTAGGCTATACTGTGTTATTACAACAGCGCTGTGTTGACCTACATTTGGGCCGCCGCCGTGCATCTTTAGCGCTCGAACGGTTGCGACCAGCACCACCACACTGGGCCTCAAACCAGAGGCTCGACATTTGATGTTGAAGAATTTCTCCATCCCAATGTCAGCTCCGAAACCTGCCTCGGTCACTGTGAGGAAACAGGCACAAAACGCATAAACATGTCTACCAGTGAATTATTTAATTACATAATAAAATTTATGGTCAGCAAATAAAGAATGTGAGCAGACTGCGATTCAGCCGTGTTAGAAGCTGGAGCAGCGGCGCTGGACACAGGCATTAAAGTATCATCTTGCTTGAAATAACTCATCTTCCACCTTCAAGCCATGTTTGACCCAATTTGACCTCACAGCACCACATGTGAGCTCGATTACACGCCTGGAAGAGACATGGGAACGGTTTCTGAACAGTAGTACTGAGTAATGGGTACATTGTAGGGGCTCTGAAAAAGACAGAGGGCCTCTGATACAGACAGCTCTACGCACAGGCCTCTTGAACAGGCTCCAAACAAAGCAAATACCCCACCTGAAATGGCAGCCTTTGTCAAGATAAGGTTTCCTGCTACATGCTGGCTAGTTTTACACATTTTACAGTAAAACTAAAGTTTATTTCCCATCAAAAGTGTTTAGGCAGGTTTTAATCACCTTGGGCTGTTTGTTTAGTCTGCTCAGATGCCATTATTCTTCCCTTTCGGTACTTGAAAGGGAAGAATTCACTGCAAGCTTCCAAGTCTGTTTCCTTGTGATCTCTGAAGCTTTTGGTTTGTGCTAAAGATGGATCATGATGAATCATCACAGTTTGCAGGATAGACCGCACAATGCGCTGAAAGTCGACTACATTATTACTGCAAATATTTTAGCTTTTATTCAAGAGGACAGTGCAGTGTGTGTGCAGGAAGAAAGGGAGAAAGTGAGCGAGGAATGACATGCAAGAGATGATTTAGAGTGGCCTTCAGTCACCAGGCTCGACCAGGTGAGCTATAGTGGCATTGCCCCAACACTTTTACTGGTACTAGTAAAGACTAACGGCTTTGCTGTTTGGTTAAATGCTTTGCCTTTGTTCCAACACATATTTTACGAGAAATCTTCCAGTAAAACATTTAATCTAAATCTAAAATCCAAACAGAATAAATGCACCGTAACGTGCATGGAGTCCAGTTTGTAGTTTAACGCTTCACGAACTCTTTGTGACCACGAGAAGAGAGATTAAGCCTTCAAATGCAGTATGATTTTCTGTCAGTCAAATTAATAACGTTTGTTTTGAATGTCTCCCACGGGTCCCGATAATATAGAGGACTTTGTCAATGTGACATAATGTCAACAAGTTGTGGTCCATTAGTAGCAGCTGGCCCTCGCAATATTAGTGTAAAATGTTTTTTTTTTTTTTTTTTTAAAGGAACCAGTCTAAACCAGCTGATCTCAGAAAACATTTATCAAAGTAGTGATAATTTAAGTATTATTAAAGGATAAAAAAAAACATGTCAGTGATTAACGCAAGGAAAAACTCTAATTAAGCCCAAAAGTAAATTTTTACAAATTTAAGACTGATGAAAATCACAAAACACAGAAAACTCAGTCAGAAAACCCCCACAGAATTTAGCTGAAATACAATCTTTAAATGGTACTGGAATCTACAAGGAGTACTGTCCCATGACAACCAAATATTACTAAGGAACAAAGACCAAGGCGCAGATTTGTTTTAACAGCCAAGGGTAATTATCCATATTACAGTTTTGTTATTCTAATAAAAAACAACTAACTTTTGTAATTGCCGAACTAACTGGGTGGGCAGGTCAGGACATTATTGACTAAAAACAATCACAGGGTTTAAGAGCCAAAAAAGGGATTGTTGTGAGAGAAAAGGTCACCAGATGACCAAATATAGGGCAAATCGCTCACTATGGGTATTCACGAAAAATAACATTAACAGGAGGAGTTTGCTGTTATTTTCCCATTTTGGGGGAGTTTTTTTGGAGTTAACATTTTTTTTTTATTTATTTATTTTTTAAAGAACCAATACACAACCCATAAACTTAATCATCTACAGACCCCGCTTCCCCTCTTGCTCAAACTAACCCATCCTGGATAACCTCTTTCTTCCAGTGGTGTAACATCTGTGCTCGTCAACTGCTAACCTTATTGACAGTTAATTTGATTAAAACGATTAAAAAAAAAAACAAAAAACAAAAAAACAACCCAAATGGGACTCAGATGGGAAAAACAAATAAAATGTTTGTGTCATTCTGATCAGTTTTGCGTCTCATAAAAGTTTTTGTGCGTAGGACCCTGTGCGCAGACTTGAGCTCCACAGAGACGGGCTTTGACCAGTTCCACTTCTGAACGTAGACAGTAATGACGAAGAGATGGGTTTACAAATTGAAAAGGGAACGAGGGGAGGGGGGCTTGGATCTATTTCCACTTGGAGGGAAGCGTCACTGCAAATCAAATCTGAGCGGTCTCCTTCATTCTAACATAAATCATTCCCATCCTGATGAGAGCTGTCTCCGCCAAGAGGAGTCACTGAAGTGAAGTGAATCATAAGCTATGACCTTCAACGCCATCGCCGTTATTAAAAAAAACTAAATGATGGAATAACTTTTGGAAGATTTGAACTTTTGGAAGGCTTTTATAATTACATAAAAAAATTAATCAGGCTTTTTTACATTCTACTTTTATTACATGTAATGTCTAATATGTCAAGTCGTTTTCTTGGTTCAACTTTGAAGACTTAAAGTTTATGACAGCAAAATAATGAGTCCTCACTAAATTTTATGAGCTAAACTGTGTTTAATCCAAAAAGAAATTTGCTGAAAACATTTATTGACATGCCTTTGGAAACACGAGAGTACTTTAGCTTGGCAGTACTTGTGTCTGACATTTGATGAAATAATAATAATAATAATAATAATGGATTGGATTTATATAGCGCTTTTCAAGGCACCCAAAGCGCTTTACAATGCCACTATTCATTCACTCTCACATTCATACACTGGTGGAGGCAAGCTACGGTTGTAGCCACAGCTGCTCTGGGGCAGACTGAAAGAAGCGAGGCTGCCATATCGCGCCATCGGCCCCTCTGGCCAACACCAGTAGGCAAGTAGGGTAAAGTGTCTTGCCCAAGGACACAACGACCAGGACAGAGAGCCCAGGGATCGAACCGGCGACCTTCCGGTTACAGATGCGATTCCCAACCCCCTGAGCCACGGTCAATCTCTCTGAGGCTTTAGAGAAAAAACAAGTGTTTGCGAGAAGAAATGCATCACTCTGCTTTGTTTGTCTTCGTTTAATGCTAGTCACGGTGTGATTTATTTCACGAGACGCGAGCGTAAATTTACTTCAAGGAGGGAAGGCGAGAGGAGGAGAGAAAGAAGATGGAAATACCTGAGAAATGAAATTAAATCAGAAAGTTGAGAAAGTCTTTTGGAGAGCAGAACTAAGTCTAACAGGACTTAGTTTCTTGGAATACCAACAACAACATTTAGCAGAAACTGTGACTTGGGGGGCCTTGGCTGCATCGCCTGCATCTTGAAAAGTCTATCTGCTCAAAGAGGAAAAAAAATAAAGCCTGCGGGAGGACTGCAAAAATGTAACTCGGCTTTCTTTTGGCCAAATAGCGCTCAGTGCAATGTTTCTCATTAGCACCACACTAGAGCTTTGGCTCTGAATACAAAAACAGCTTGCCAACAAAAATATGATTCTTAGGTACAGTATTTGTGGATTTCCAGAAACTTTATGACAAAAAGCGAGCACAAGAGTACTCACACGACACAACGCAGCATATTGAGAGGTGAAAAAAAGAAAACAGAAAAGACAGTTTCCCCTCGATGGCATTGCATCAAGCGGGAAAGTGAACCCGGAGGATGTCCTAAGGAAACACTTGCAAGCTTCCTGTTCTGCATGACAACCCTGAACTGCCCAGAGACCGAGAGGGAAGGAAGAGGTCGATGATGTTGTGAGCAGAGTCAGAGAGAAGGAGAGAGAGAAAGATCGGGATGGTGGAACTAGATGTCAAAGCATTGGTATCAGCACAGCTGCCAATAAAAACACAAACACTGCAGAGCAGGCTGCACGACCATCTATGTGCTGTTAGTTTTCCACAATAAGAGACTTAAAAGTAAAAAGTACTACTACTTTAATCAAATGTCAGAACACATGCCTGTCATTATTTGCCTTAAGGCTCTTTAATTTAACTTCTTTAATTTTTGTGTAATGAACAAACAAACTGAGAAAAGCTAAATCAGCTAATCCTATAACATCTCTAACTAAATGTTCAAGCGATCATAAAGAAATGTGATTTATCTCTCATCCATCTGCATTTGCTCAAAAGGTGGTGTACACCCTGGACTATTGGCCAGTGGTCTATTTGCTGGGTGACCACCATTCATGCTCACATTACCTCCTAGAGCAGCGGTCCCCAACCCCCGGGCCACGGACTGGTTTGATACCGGGCTGCGAGAGTTGAGGCTCAGGTGTGAAATTTATGCTTTTCAGGGTTTTTAAAATCGATTTTTATCGTTAACTCTGTTTGCCTGGGCCTTTTCCCGTGTGTTATGAATAAATCTTCCTTTTTTTGGTACTGGTTTTATTTTGTTGTATTTTTCCGCAACACCTTAAACGCCGGTCCGTGAAAATATTGTCAGAGATAAACCAGCATACATAAACCAAAAGGTTCGGGACCGCTGTCCTAGAGCCAATTTAGAATCAAATTCTATAATGTAACCGAGTTTTCTTTTAAATTGAATTCACATAATTGTTCAAACATAATTTTCAAGCAACTGTTTGTCTATGTAGGTGATAAAAAAAAAAA